GTTTTGGTAATAAAAGAAAAGAAAACAAAAGGGTTGTTCATTAGAATGGTATGCCACTAAAAGATAGAGTATCAATACCATCAAAATTATCATAAACAGGAAATTCAATATTAGTGCTCAAAACCTACTTTTCTATTGGACTTTCATTTGATTAAAATGTCAATGAACAAATCAACTTTTTCCTCTTTTCCTTGTGCTTTTTTTTGTGTTTCTTTTTTCTCCTAGCTTTTCAGACTAATAAGAAATATTTAAATATTAAAATGTTGTACCAAGCCTGGAATCCAGGAAAAAAGGTGTGTAGGATTCTTCATTCCAAAGATGAAAATTGTGAGGTGAAGCAACAAAAATTATATATATTCTTCTTTCCAATAGTGCATTGTAGTGATGCTTTCCAAATTTTCATATAGAATGTTGCCATTTTCTTTTGCATAGTATTTCAAGGCAATTAAATATTCTTGAATGTGAAACTTTTACCATAACTGGAAGCAATATGCCCACGCAAAATTAAGTGCTCTGAACCATTGCCACTCTCTTTAAAAGGAATAAAATGAAAATTTTTTTTTTTTTTTTTTTTTTTTTTTTTTTGCCCAATAGTCATTTAATTTTTTAAGAAAATTGAAAAAAAAAAAAAAAAATAATCTAAACTAGTCAAAGTAAGGGGCCCTGATATGGTGCAAGTGACGCCATTGCATAGGGTCCCCGAAATTTTTTTACTTTATATTATATTATATATATATATATTAATATTATAAAAACTGCATATATACTCTAGCATGCAGCACAGTGAAACAAAAGTGTATTTGGTGGAGTTTGTTTTTAGTGCATATCCCTTGATACAAGGCCCAAGTTCGAGTCTTAGTTATATATCACACCCAAACCCAAAAAAAACAAAAACAAAAACAAAAAAACTAAACTACTAAAAAACAAAACAATATATATATATATATATATATATTATGCCTTCTTTCTCTTGAACTCTTATGTTTTTACCGAACATATTAATATTTAAATTTATCAATTGAAAACATTAAAAAATTTATGAATTTGATTTGTGATTGTTATTACATGCTAATTGATGATGAATTTTAGTTATGAAAAAATTGTTTTATGACATTAAGTCATGGCAATTTTTATTTTTTTTAGAATTTTCATATTAGATTATGCGAAGACTCGAGTTTAAGTTTCACACACTCTCAAAATCTCAAGACTAGCCTACAAGGGGTAGGGGGTTTCTCACACACCCTAGCACAGTGCCATGAATGTTCGAACCTGAAATACTGGTTTGCAAAACAAGGTCCTTTTCTATTGAATTAGACCCATTGGTCAATTAGCTCCCTTTTGTTTAATGAAATTACATTAGTTTACATAGTTTTAAAAGTTTGTCAACTTCAACTCATCAGGACAAATTTGAAAATAATATTTGACGGTATCCAATCAAAAACTGAATCTCAAACCTTCTTTGGCAATCATTCAAAGGTCGATAAACCTACATTTCTTTTTTTCTTTTTTTCTTTTTTCTTTTTTGTTACAATAAACTGACAATAGAAAGTCTAAAAATAGATATTATTTTCCTCCCTTCTAGCTCAAGACTGCATATCTTGTTCTTGTAGAAAATAAAAGCTAGCTTTCCAGGACAAGGAAAAACAAAAAAAAAATCTTCAATGCCATCAAAAACGTCAAAATAATATTTAAGAGACCATCGTAAACCCTAATATGCATGAGTCTTGACATGCATGGTTCAAATAAACCAAGGATCCATGTAGCTAGGTTTTATTCAGTATTTGGCTAACATGATACAGGTACGCGTTTTCGGATGTGTATAGTGGAAGTTCAGTGGTATATAGTGATATGGCCTCTGAATCATATATTTTACTTTTGGGAACTGCCACATTACACCACACATCACTATAAGAAAACATTATTATGGCCAGTTACATCCGTGACACAAGATGATATGGATAAACCCCACTATTAGTAGTGCCTAATAGTGCGACTGTTGGAGATCAGCCACCGATAGTGATTCTAGCCATCTTATCCTAGGGAACACTAGGGCATGTCACTAGAGCTACAAATGGCAAATATTTGCATACATGAAGCCACCACAAACCAGGAAGCGAGGATATGGGTAGGTATGGTTACGTTAGGTTCTAACATATATGATGCCAAAAACAAAACCCTGGGCAACCCAAAAACAAAAACAAAAACATAAACCCCCTGGACAAGCAGAAAGGGGAAAGGGAATAAGGATATTTTACTTGTAACCCAATCAAAACATCATTACTAACCAGCTTCTTAAGTGATCTAAAAGACAAAATGATTGGCAATAAATCATATCTGCAACTGCACATTGTGGAAATCTCATAGTTTCTAGCCATGGAAGGATCTATATATCATCATAACCTTGTCAAAAACATATATAGCCTCCGATCGAGAGCCAAATTGCAACATCAACTGCACAGATCTGAAGGATGAACAGCACCCAATTGGAGAAATATAGAATTCAGGAATTGCACATTCAAAATCAAAAGAAAGAAACACGCATCAACTAAGCTTTTTTATATCGAAAAATATAAATACACTACGATTAATCTCTAGAAGGGTATTGCTGTTAGCCTAGGGTGCCTTGATTAGTATTCAGAAAGCACTTCCTTTCTATACCAAATGAATCCAAACGCAAATTAAAACTCTAATCTGTATCTAATGCAGTTTAAATATATGTAGCTGACATGCATTAACAAATCTAAATGAATTTTCCTACTGATAAAAAATGAGAAAGTGTTGCAAGGATACTAATTATAAGCATTTAACAATCGTTTTTTTGGTCTGCAAAGAACTTAACAATTTCGACAAAGCGATTAGTCTCTCGAGGTTCCAAGATGAATCTGTCTACTGGGCAAGACTATCACATAATAACAGTAATTAAGCAGACTATGACAAACACTATTATCACATTACAGCTGACTTCACAATTTACATGGAAGAAACAATAAATACAAGCAATTGAGCTATAAATTCATCAATATTTTTCTAAAAGATTACAAATTTAAGTGCAAGTTCCATATTCAGTTCCAACAGATACTCCGGGCAAAAAAATAGTGGACATAGCAGTGATGAGGATTTACATATTTCTGATACGAAAAGCAAAAGGAAACTATAGGCATGTCAAACAAGAGATTAGACTTAGAAAAGGTGATCATGTGCAGCATAGGAAGAATTAATATAAAACAAAATGAATGTGAATGAAATCCACATGATGAAACCAATCTAGTTTATATATATTAGTGCAGACAAGCAAGGGGACAGCATGTGGGGGAAAGAGAAAAAAATCTAAGTAGGCAATGAATTTAGACACCCCTTAATTAATCAACATTAGTCAACATTTGTATGCAACGTTAGTTCCAACGAAATAAAAACAAGTCACCTATATCTACGGCATCCATCAATCACACAAAGAAAAAAGAAAAAAAATCATCAGATGATGCCAAACAACCATTCTGTACAGCACTTATCCTGCTAGCTAATTAACCACAAATCACATAACACAATAGATTCTAAATTACACTAACTAATGTACGGGGAATCAAACTCAGATGCAAGGGACAGACACAGTGCCTTGTTTCATACATTAGCATTCAATATAGGAGACTAAATTACAAAATACTAATCAATCGTGAAGAATGAATAGAGAATGTTTTCTTTCTTTTTATTTTTGTGGAAAGTTTATAGAGACTGGTGCGAGAAGCTAGTGCATATAACCATCAAAATTATAAGGAACAAAGGATACATCTGAAGGGATTGATGTTTGTTTTTACAACGAAAAGACTAAAGTTCAAGACAACATAAAAGTTGGATCTATGATGAGAAGCTAGCCTAACTTACCCCCCACATTACAATACAAAAGAGAAACAAGTAAATGATTTGTTGTTCATGAACGCATGCAATTGCACGATTGTCCAAAACAGTGCAGAGAGAGGCTAAAAGTGGTAAAGTGGGTGGAAAAGGACATGCATGAAATGCTTTTTCTTCTTTGGTAACAAATGATGGTAACATTACAACTACTTCTCTCTCATGCCAAAGTCTAAAGCAGCACTAATAAGTCGTCCCACATTTACTTCTGCCTTGATCATGAACAAGCAAGCGGAAAAAGAGAAATCAGCTTGAGCAGTGAAATATTAATTTGGCCCTAATATCGAAAATATATGGCTGGAATAATTAATACATGTCATAGCACATGAATCAATAGTGCACAGAACAGAAGCAAGAAATAGTTGTGGAGCATAAAAGAAATTAATAAGCTTTCTATCTACCACAAATATGTATTTTTTAATGATTTTCTTTTTCTTTTTCTTTTTTCTTTTTATTGGGGTAAAAGAAATAATAAGAGAATACTTTATACTGTAGATTTCACCTTTGACAAGCAACACTACTATGATGAAAAGAAAGAACAAGAGGAAACAGGCAGATGATAAGAAAGCTATATGCAGCTTCTATATATGGGAAAAGGAAATAAAGAAATGATGATAATAATAATAATAATATCCATGGGATTAATGGTATTTTGTATCTTAAAATGCACTTCTTTAGCAAATTACAAGATTTATGTAAGTCGGTTTTGAGTACTTGCTCCCCCGGTCCTGGGTTCGAGTCTCCCTATCCATGTTGTGTATGTGAGTTTAGTATATCATCACCCCACTCAATAGGAAAGGTCCTCAAACAAAAAAGGATTTATAATCCCCACATATTAGTGTGATGCAAATGCAATTAACTAACAACTAGAAACCATGAAGCTGAAAACCAATTATAAAGAGGAGAAGAAATTAAACATGTTAATAAAATACTTGTTTCAGTAATTTAATACAAGAGATTAATATTAATCATTAGTAGGACCAAGCAGACGAAAAATTAGACAACTACAATGTTAATCCTTCCAAGCTAGGTTGTTCATTAACGGATGCAGTACCTAATTAACACCACAGAACTAGGAAGAATATACCATCAATTTATTGGATTACCAAGTTTGAACCTCCCAGCAATCCTCCACTAGACGCCCCATAAACGTCCGACGTGTCGAGAATCGGGGAAGAAGCCCCGTTTCGTCCACCATTGCCACCACCACTAGTGCCGCCGCCACCCCCCAAATGCAATTCGGAGATGTTGGGAAACCCCTCTCTACCTTCAACCCCTTGATCATACAAGAACCCTTTGAACACATGGCCACCAATTTTCACAACTGCCTGATATGCGTACTCATCGTCACCGTCTTCCACCGCAGTCACCCGAACGCACTTGAACACCGCCGGAGCACGTACTTGGCCCGGCAATGACTCCTTGAAACCAGCATCTGCACACATAGATATATTGTACATCTTTATATAGTTGAGGGAATTTAACAAACTAAGTAGAATTTGAAACCCTACTCAAATAATTTCAACTAATTATAAAAGATAATAGTACTGCTAGTACATTTCATTTAATTCAAGTAATTAAATCAACCTTGGTGACTAGAGCTAGTATCATAGCTTCTAGGGGGGGTGGTGTTTGAAGTGGAAGTATGAGACGTTGTCGTTTGGGAGGCGCCAATGAGCCTAGGCTTCTTGGCACTGGATGTAGACCCAGAATTAGACCCAGCCCCACCTCCAGCCGCACCAGACATCAGCTGCCGCTCTCTCCGCCGAGCTGCCGGGACCCATGTGCTCTTCACGTGAGTGGCACAGTCGAACCCCCGGCTTTTGCAGCACGTCCTGCACCGCCTGTGCGTGCAGTCTTTCTTCGCCTGATTCCCACAATCTTGACACGTCATTGTCGAGGTCCCGGAGGCAGCGGCAGAGCCGGAATTCATAACGTTATTTCCTACTCCGCCGCCGCCACCACCTTGAACCAAGTGGGTCCCGCCGAGACTCGTAGCAGCCAGATCATGTGGAGTTTTCTTGAAGAAGTGGGGCTGGGGCTGCTGCCACAGCTGAATTCCTCCTCCTCCTCCGGCGCTTCGGTTGTTTCGATGCTGGCCGCTGCTCATCATACCCATGCTCATACTCATACCCATTCCCATACCCATACCCATGCCCATGCCCATGCTCATGCCTGTAGGAGTGTGGGCATTATTATCTTCGTCATCGTCGACATTTGAGATATTTGGCGGGGCAAGACAAGGGGTGGTGGTGAGGAGAGGGATGACGCCGACGCCAACCCCGACACCGAGAGCGGTGGCGGGGTTGGTGGAGGCGTTGATGGAATGGTGAGGGTCGGAGGAGGGGGAGAGGAGATTGGGATCGTGGTGGTGGTGGTGGAGGTGGTGATGGTTGTTGTGGTGGTAGGCGGCGGCAGGGGCCACGACGAAGACGTCACGGAGGCCGACCATGCCGGCCATCTCGGGAGGGAGGTGGCTGTAGGGGAGGGGCCTGCTGGGAGGGCCGGAGGAGGGCCACATGGAGCTGGGGGAAGCGGAGGAGGGTCCAGCGGGGGCGGGCCCAGCATTGAAGCCGAGGGAGAGGACGTCGAGGTCGGGGTGGTGGTGGTGGGAGGGGCGTCCGGTGGCTGCGGAGTTGGTGGAGGAAGATGAGCCCACCCAATCTGCAAAGGCACCAGAATCTGAAGGCAGCCTCCTTGTAGTAGCCACAACTGAAGCTCAACCTCTTTCTCAATGTATATTACAAACCCAATTGCTCACAATCTTAATTAGCCCCTCCCTTTTTTCCTCAATTGTATATATATTCTTTTCTTCTTCTTCTTCTTCTTCTTCTTGTGTGAGATTGGGAGAGAGAGAAGGAGAGCGAACAAGTCAATGTATGGAAGGATGGGTAGCTAATATCTATGTGTGGGTGTTATGTGTTGTAGGTCTCTGAAATTCTATCAGAATTTGGTTGTTAGATCGATGTGAGAATAAAGCTAGGTTCATTTAGAAAGAGAGAGAGAGAAGTTTGTTGGGGGGGCTTTCTGGCTTTGCTTGCTGTTTATATATATGGCAGAATAGTGCCTACTGCTGCTGCTGTGCTGCAGCTACTGCTTCTACTGTCACTAGTCTGGCTTTTATAAGGAAAAAAGTTGGTTTTTTTCTGATCAGAAACACAAACAGATTGAGAGAGAGAGAGATTCTGCTTATCCGCTTATCTGCTTCTGGCCCTTCTGCTATGGGTGGGGGCCGACCCTCAAAGCCCAGACTGAGTCCACAGGCAGCAGAGAAAAAACAAGACCAAAGCAGCAGCTAGTTAATGCTATGTATCTTCACTCTCACACTCCTCTGTGTGTGTGAGAGAGAGAGAGAGAGAGATAGAGAGAGAGAGAGAAATGCAATAACGACCTTTCCTGTGTGTATTTTCTGCTGTTGCTATTGTGCCCAGTGACCTTTCTCTCTCTCATAGATCCATCTCCCTTCTTTTTCTTCTTCTATATCTTCTTCTTCTTCCTCTTTTCCTTCTGCTCTCTCTCTCTCTCTCAGCTTCTTAACTTCTTTCCCTTTATCTTTTTCTCTAACTCTCTCCCTAAAAACCCTCCCTCAACATGTTTCCTAGAAAGCCAACTTGAGGTGGGTTCCTCTCTGCCTCTCAACTCCCTTCCCTCTCTCTCTCTCCAATAATCACTTAGCTGAATAGCAATAGCAAATAGTATAAGATAGTAGGAGGAGAGAGAGAGATATAAAAGTGACAGAGAGAGAGTATAAAGACTTTTGTTCTCTAGTTTTTGTAGTTTTGTGGAGTCTCTAAAGTCACATGACAACTCTCATTCATTTAGGGCAACAGTGCTTCTACAGTCCTACTTCTCTACTTCATCGCGCGCGTGTATTCCTCACTCTCCCACAGCGCGTGGGCCTTATTATTCTCTATCCCTCTCATCCTAAAATGGTGGTGGCCCACATGAATGGAGAGCAGCAGTGCGGCGCGTGTAGGGCACGCGAATTAGCCTCCTCATTTTTCATTAATTAAACGTGGAGTCCAAGTAGGAGTCCCAAAATCTATCTGTTTTGTCGTTTTTGATTTGGGTTTGTCAGATGAGATGAGAGAAAGGATGGAGATGAATGTTGTCAGATTGGTGCATATTTGGTAACATCATTAACAGTGTAAGCTAGGTTTGACTTATGAGTTTTAATTATTTTGCTATAATTAACCAATTAAGGCTCCAATAGCTGAGTTAATTGTACCTTCCTTTTGTAATTCTTCTTCAAAATTATACTTTGGAGCCGCGTTTAATGGAGAGGATTAGATTCGACTAACTAAAATTCATGTGCAATTAAGGAATAATATGAATGTTGTCTTTTAATTTGGAGGAGTAGGACTATTCATAAGATGTTGATGTCTAAAATTTATCCCCTATATATCCAACCATTTTCAAGAAGATCAGCGAAGATAAGTTTTAGACATCAACCTCATATGAATACTCCACCTTAATTCTTTAAGTTGAACGACAACATCCATATTCTTCCTTGATTGCGCATAAAATTTAGTTATTTAGTTAATCGTCCATATTAAACGTGGCCAATGATCAAATTAGATATCACAATTTACTATTGATATTTGGCCTCCTTTTCTCAAATTCGTTGATCATATTCTCGTGAAGCAAATTTTGTTGCAAATGTTTTGCATATTCGAGTCATTTCTAATTGTGTGAAAAAATTGGGCTTTGTGCTAAAATAGCCCTTTTTAACAACTTTTGTTCCAAAATAGCAACTCCCCCCAATGGTGTCTTCATATAGTTGTCCCCATAGTCTTTTCTATGTTGTTCAGTGTCGAATCCAAAATTTTTTTAAGGAAGGGGCAATGTTAAAAGGCTAAAAGATAAAATAATAATAACCAAATAGCCTTACAATTTAAATAATACTAATGTTATTCATAATTAAAATAAATAAAAGTTTACGTCTAAGCCTAATGACTATAGTCTATTTTGTATATCAATTAATATGCACAAATTTCATGTTACACAATTATTTACCAAAATTCATATCAAATATGAACAAAATGCATGTCAATTACACAATTAGTCTATCAAAATTCATATGAAATCATCCATTATTCTAACCAAAATCAATACCAATTAATCTAACCCAAGGTACATGTGATTTGGAGGTCACGAGATAAAAGTACATGTGATTATGAGTTTGGGGTATTTTTTGGTGAATTTTTCGAAGCACATATGAATTTTTAATGAATTTCTAAAATTGATCTAGTTAAAATTTGACACATAGTACCTTAATAGTGAACCATATTAAAAAGGAATGCAAGTTGAGAAGCACATGATTCTAACTACAAACACGAGTCATCTTATTCCTCGACTTGTATTTGCAACGTAAGTGAAATTTTTTCAAAATCTTCTCAAATCTATAACTTTGGTTGTTGAGGTCCAATTGACAAACAGTTTTCTCCTACACGATCGTGAGATCGAGCTTAACAATTTAAGGTAAATATTCAAGGTCTCACATAGCAGCAACAAAACAACCTCTTTGAGGCTTTTAATCGAACACTAGTAAAGGGGCAAATTCCTGCATCTCCAAAGTATTTTTCAGCAAGGGGAGGTGCACTTGCACCTCCTTACACCTCTCTGGGTCCGCCACTGCTCATAGTGCCTCTATAATACAAGGATGGCTATTTTAGAACAAAAGTTACGAAGAATGGCTATTTTAATTAATTTCTCGAAAAAAATTTGGGTACATTGGCCATTCCAATGGTTGTTTCCGCAACTTTGATGGGATTGGGTTGTCGACGTAGGTCTATGTTATAGTTCTCGATTTGCCGTGTACTTTGTAGTTCTTGGCTCACTTCTATTTTGGAAAGTGGTACATCTTTCTCTCAGTTTAGTCAATGAAATGCCTCTTGCAATAACGAAATAGCCAAATTTATTGCTCAGTAGGATATATTTTTGTTAGGGCTGAATAGGCTCACCACCAATGATTGATTATGAATAGATTAAAAATTGAGATACTTAGTTATAAATCCATTCTTAGCACTAGTGATATAGATAAGCCCTACACCATTTAATTTCTATTAAAAAAAAATTCAAAAAATGGCAACTAGCCTTATTGAATTTAATTTTGATTATTAAATTATTTTGATGCCTATTAAGTGTTTTGGTTTTTATTATAAGGTTTTGGGGTTGGGCTTGTTTTAAGAAATCAATGGCAGTTTTGTAATTTATAGGAAGTTCGAATTCTCTTTGTTATGTTGTAAATGAGCTTGGGGTGTGTTTCTAAAGTCCATTTTATGCAGTTTTTTATTATTATATATATATATATATAATAATTTGAACCCCTATATTGGGTATAATAGTGAATTTCCCTTAAAAATTTAGTTCTCAACAAAATCATGTTAATTAAAATATATGAATAGTGAACACTTTAATCATATTTACTTTAACTTTCCGATTCACTTTTGTTCATCATTAATCACTAAACAAAAGGTCAATTTAAATTAACCAAACTAATTTATCAGCAAAGAGAAAAAAGAAAAATGTTGATGTGGAAAATCCATGGGGCAAGTCATATGTTTGATAATAAATCAACCCATGTGCTAAACAGGATGAAATCACTAGGTTGATATTCATACTCAATATGAATTTAGTCTTTAAAGTAGACAGATGAACACCCTACCTTTTTTTCTTTTTTTTTTTTTTTTTTTTTTTTTTTTGATTTTTTTTTCTTTTTTTTTTTTTCTTTTAATCAAAAAAATGTGTCAGAAGTAAGGAAGGAGCACATGTTAAGAGCTTTTATAACTCTCTCATTAAACTTCGACAATCAAAGTTTATATGATTATGTGGGTTAACAAAAAGATATATTTAGTCATATACTCATTTTTGTGGGTTTGTTTTTGGGGTTGGGCTTGTTTTAAGAAATTGATGACAGTTTTGTAATTTATAAGAAGTTAAAAGTCTCTTTGTTATGTTGTAAATGGGATTTGGGTCCATTTCATATATGGTTTTTTTAAATAATTTGGGCCCCTATATTGGGTATAATAGTGAATCTCCCTAAGAAAAATTAAGCAACGGAAAATACCAAATAAAACTTCTCATTGAAAATTCATACAATTTTGTATATTCATTCTCTTGGTAAAATAAAGTCTATTCCATGTACATTGACAAATATGACAACTTATAAGAAAGCTTAATTTGTAAAAAAGAAAATTAGACTAATTGATACAAATAGAGTGGTTTGAAAAGTTCAATCGAACCATAAATTAGGGTTTGGCTCCAGTCAACAGCAAAATACATTTTTTTTAAAGTACCGAACCAAGCCCTCCCAAATTGATTTCGTTTGGTTGGCTCGAATGGTATTTTCAATATTTTGCACACTTGTAATTACATAAACATTATATAAGAATATAGATAAGTGTTGTTAACATTCATGTTTAGCTAATATATAAGTACTAGTGTTGATGTGCAAAAATGGAGTTAACTTAAAGGAGGATGCCTTCGGTCGATGACGTCCTTCGGAAGATGAGACGGAGA